ATGATCCTCAGATCTCAGCCTCCTGAGTGGCTAGGATTACAGGCGTGAGCCACCGGCATCCAGCTCCTCCACGTAATCTTAAACAAAGTCCAGGTGGGAAGCCAGACAGTAGAGCCAACACCAGTCTGCTCTGCAGCTCGGGCAAGTCCCCTGGCCACTCTTCGTCCATTCCTTCCTCTTTCCAATAAAGCAGCCTCCCACACCACTGCTGCCTCTTGTTCTCCTGGGGCTACTTCACAGGTGTGGAGCCCGAGATGCCGGAAGACCAGGCTCCTTGTGAGAAAGCAGCAGAGCAGGGAGCCAGAGCAGGGAGCCGGCTCACTGGCCTCCCCTTCCCCCACCCTCAGCTTTTTTCTGCCCCTGCCACTTCCTTGGCCTCCCCTTCCTTCTCTCTGAAGCCAAAGAGGCTGAGTGGCTGCTCCAAGGTCACCCAGCCTGACCTGGGAGGAGCTCAGACTTGAACCCGGGCCTCTTGGCTCCTGGCCTCCCTTACCATTCTGGCCAGCAGGCCAGGCCTGTTCCCTGGGTGAGTCATACCCCTGGACTTTGTCCTTCTTGTCCCCAGTCCTGTGGCCTGAAGTTTAGAGAGGGGTCCTTTGGAAGGAAGAGGGCCACCGTTGATGGTACGGAGGGTCTCAAGCCATTGCCCCTCCTCCCTCCTTCAGGAGTGCGTGGCGCCAGCAACCGCTGACCTTAGCCACAGTCCTTTCTCCAAGGCGCATTCTGCCCCCTCCCTAGAAAGACAGCCACACCATGTGTGACACCAAACTAGACATGGGGCGGGGTCAGGGCTTGGAGAGGTGGCATTTCCAGGTTGTCCGTGTGCCCAGGCAGCTTCCTCCCCAGTGCTCCTCTCTCAGGCACCAGGCCTGGCGGCTTGGGGCTTGGTTACCCCGGCAGAAGGCCACAGCACCTCCCCTCCCCCCGTGTCCAGGGAGCAAGGGCACACCCAGAGCCCCGTGTGCCTCCACCTCCTCCTGGGGCCAGAGGTGTTTGTCACTGGGGCAACGTGTAGCTTCGCCCGGCTCTGGCAGTGGTGGCATTCATGCCCTGTGAGCTGTGACACCTCGGCAGGCAGAGGACAGCACTGTCACCCAGGCTGGTGACAGTGACAGGGAAGGGACATGGGTGGACTGCCACCTGTCTAAAGCAGGGAGGGACTCAGAGAAGGGGTGAGGTCGTGAGCCTGCCGCACGCCGCGGCTCTGGAGGGCTGGGAAGAGGTTTGTCCCGCGGGGAGTGGCTGTGTGTGACAGATTCTGCGCATCCCACATCCTGTCAGTGGGTGTTGGGGTGCCTGCTTAGGTAGTTACAGTGTCGTGAGGGCTGACAACTGGAGACCTGTCTCATGCTGTCAAAGGGTGTCACATGGGACCATCTCTCACTCGCCGTGGCTCCTCCTGTCACAAGGGTTGTCTCAGCCTGTCTGCTTGTTGTGTGGAGTGACCTGTGTGATTGTCTCTTGTTGCTAGGAAGTTGTCAGTAACTCGAGCTCATGTCTCACCCAGAGACGTGTCCCATGGTGTGGGCTGGCAGTTGGCGGGGTCTTCCCCATGCAGACCACAGGGCCCCAAAGGGCCGGCTAGAGGAAACACTTCTGCCCTGAGCACAGGACAATGTGGGGGGGTGTCACAGGGCCACATGACCGACCTACCTACCTTCTGACCAGGCCCTAGGGACTGCGCCCTAGGAGGAAGGAAAGTGGGCGTTTTTCAGGTTGCGTGGGAAGGGGCCTTTGGGCCCAGGCAAGGGCCCAGGCAAAGGTTTGCCTGGGAGGCGTGGTCCCCACAGGCTGGGGACCCTGTTCCCTACCTCTTCTGCCCCCGAAACTGTTAAACTAATTAAGGCTGTGGAGCCGCAGGATTAATCGGGGCAGCGCGGCGCAGGCCCGGAGCTCAGGTAGTCGATTAGTGCGCCTCGGAGGATATTGGATTTCTGAACCGCAAGTCAGCACTATTCGGGCCTGTTATCTCCCAGGCTCGAGGGTCAGCAGGCGGGAGGCCCAGGCGCTGCCGCCCCCGCCCGCCCCGGGCATCCACACCCCTGCCCGCGCAGCCTGGCCCACCCTGTCTACCTCAACTGTTGCCTGATCCCCGCTTGCCCCTCCCCACTGCCATCTCTGTTGGGCCCTCTTCCCCCAGGCCCCTCTCCTCGCTGTCTTTCTCCCTCTTAGTCCTTTGTGGCCTGCACTCACGCTCTGCCAGACCCACACCTGCCTCTCAGCCTCTCTGACCGATGGGTCTCAGCCTGCCCCCCCCCACCTTCCTGTCCTTGTCTGCCTAGATCCCCCACTGTCTCTGTTCTGCCTTTCACCGCCACTCACTGTCTCTGGTTTTTCATTTGTGTGTGCCTGCCTCTCACAGTCTGTCTCTCATGTCTCTGTCTCTCTGTGTATCTCTGGTTGCCTGTCTGTGACTCTCTCTCTCTCTCTCTCTCTCTCTCTCTCTCTCTCTTGTGTGGTCTCGGCTGGTGTCTGCAACCAGAACAAATCTCCCCCAGCCAACACCCCCTGAACAAGGAGGCCAGAGCAGCTAATGGGAAACATGTGATTCTGCCTTGCGCCTGGAGCACCGTGAAGGGAGCCTTAGTCCCAGCCCAGCTCCCCCTTGCCGCATTCTCCTCCCCCTCCCCCTCCCCCTCCGCCTCCCCAGCTTGAGTGGGCAAGTTCCTTAGCCATTTACATGGAAGGGGGCTGACATTTATCAGTTGGGGACCATCGGGCTATGGAGGGGCTGGGGCAGCTGCTCCCTCATCCTCTGGGTCAGTGGACCCCAAGCAGATTCCCCCCCCCCCCCCTGCTATATGTAGGAGAACAAGGCCAAGAGGGGCTGAGCCATGGAGGCCTGGATGGGGGCAGCCAGTCCACCCCCCCAAAAAAAAGGGCTCTAGAGCCACCCAAATTTCCATCTTTTCCACCCTCCTGGGCCTCTGGGAAGCTGAAAAGGTGGGGGCTCCCTGAACTTGGGGGCTGCTGGGCTGCATTTCTGTGCCCACCCAACCACAGGGCCGGGGGCAGCTGAGAGGAGGGAGGCTCTGGCAGGTTGGAATTCTCCTTCTCTGCCTGTGGATAAATTGTCCCTAATCCAGGCTTGGGGAGTTGTCTGGCTCCTACAGAGAGAGAGAGAGAGAAAGAGAGAGAGGAGGGAGGGGGAAGCAGGCACATACAAACACAGTGACACAGGCACACTGTCTCACAAAGGGTCTCTCCTGTGTGTGCGTGCACACCACTTACACAAAGGCAGCACACAAACACCGAGGCCCACGGTGCTGTGGCATAGACCATCTCACACATGGGGACACTGACACAGCTACACGAGCACAGACACACAGTGGCATGGTACTGCTCTTCCAAGGACCCGCCAACACACACACACACAGATGCCTGGGGTGCAGACACTATTAAGGTCATACAAATCCACATACTCACAGACGTACCCATAAGCACATGCTGACCTGTGGCAAAGCAGACCGACAGGGACACCATGACCCTGATAACCTACAGAAAGAAAGAGGTAGGAGGGAAACAGTGCTGATGTGCAATGACACAGTGCCTGCAGTCACAGGCCTGGAGATTACAAACCTGCAGGGACAGTGGAGGATCAGCCCCCACCGCCCAACACAGCCAGAGAGCTGAGACAGGCAGGAGCCAGTTTTGGCTCCTGACACGGTGAGTGAGATACAGAGCCAGGCACAGTGTGTACACACGTAAGCATACTCACAGCCTGACTACAGCTGGGCACACCTGTCACACACAGGCACTTACATCTCTGTCCTCTTAGGCACAACTAGATGCACACTCAATAGAATAGAAACAACTGGTGTCCATAGCCACACATATAGGTAACCACACATAGAGTCCACTAATCACAGTCTCCTGGCATGTACACACTCTGACACACAATGGACACACAAGCTATGAAGGAACAAACACATGGTTCTACACGTTTATACTTTGTTCTGTATGTGGTGCCAGAGATCGAACCCAGGGCCTCTGTAGGGCACGCTAATGCTAGGCAAGCACCCTGCCACTGAGCCACATCTCCATCTTCCATACATGGGCATGCTTAAGCATGCATGTACTCACACAGGTGTACAGAAATGCAGACAAGCTAAGTAGACCCAGAAACTCACCGTTACAGGTGTATTTACACAGACAACTGAACACTCACAGCCGTGTGTTTACACAGCCGAAATCTCTATCACACACATACATATTCCCAGGCAACCAGAACCTAGAAGCAGTCCACGAGGCCTGGTTCCCAGACCCCCTCTGGGCTCCAGTACAGACCTCAGGGCGGCATACAAATGGGCTGGAAGGGGGGGTGCTCTTGAGGAAGGCCATGGTTATTAAAGAAAACAAGAGACAGAACCAGTTGCTGCTGGAGACAGGCAAGCACCAGCTGCATATGCATCCTCGTGGAAATCTGTGTCCACACCACTGCGAACAGCCACTCTCCCACCTGTGCAGAACGAGCTCTTAGTACACACAGCTTCCCTAGAGTGCTCCCATTTGAGGGAGGAGAACAGGAGAAACCAGAGAGGGTCCTCCTGGCTTACCCTGATGAGCCAAGGCCTATCTACCTCTTCAAAGCCAGGTTCCTTCAACCATTGTGTGTATGTAGACATACAAAGATGCTGCTTCCCTTTGGGCTGGGAATGTGGCTTCGTGGTAAAGTGCTTGCCTAGCATGCATGAAGCCCTGGGTTCAATTCCTCAGTACCACATACACAGAAAAGACTGGAAGTGGCAGCTCTCAAGTGGTAGAGTGCTAGCCTTGAGCAAAAGAAGCTCAGGGACAGTGCCCAGGCCCTGAGTTCAAGCCGCAGGATTGAAGAGAGAGAGAGAGAGAAACAGACTTACAACTCTGCCACAGGATGTGGTTGGAGCTGGATTAGACCCATGTAGAATAGCCTCCTCCTAGTTCATTGTCCCTCTGTGCTCTGCCGTGGGTGGCTCCCTGCATGCATGCTCATACCTACTGTGCTATGTTTGCTTCCACAGATGGGAGCTTGCCTGATTGTCTGCCCATCGGCCTGGACCCCAGAGCCCGCCCAGCTGAGTGTGTGCAGAGGGCCCCAGGTGAGGGGCTATACTCAGGCCTCCACGGAGACCACCCTGGAGACGCTGGTGAAGACGAGCCGTTCCTGCTGAGCCAGGCCTCTGCACAACCTGCTCAGGTACTAAGCGGAAGCCGGGCCTGGGCCTGGGCCTGTGCTAGTCCTGATTCAGGGATCTCCTCCCAGTATAAACTAAGAAGAGGCTCTTAAGTCAAGAATCAACAGATATTGACCCAGATTATTCAACTTCCCCACCGTCCAGAAAGGGAAACTAAGGCTCACGGATATCCAGTGAGTGCCACTTGATAGTGCCTGGTGGCCAGCCCTATAGAACCCCTTTAGACAGAGTCTGTGGAAGGAAGCAAAGAGCTGGGAGGCTGAGGCAAGGTGCTGGGAGAGCTTAGGTTGCCCAGGTGTGCTAGGAAGCCCGGTGGACCTCGAGGGGGTTGGACAGTGGCAGGACCTGCCCAGGTTAGCCCACTGTGGTTCCCTGCGGCGGGGGCCAGGTAGGGCTGCCCTGCCCTGCTGAGGCAACTCCCTGAACTGACACATGAAGCCTGGGGCTCCGGGAAGCTCCCTAGAACCCAGCCTGCTAGGGACCCCACCCAGCTTCCAAAGGAGCATTCCTGGGGCCTGAGGTCTGGGGGTGGGGCCTCTTGGGATGGGAAGGGTAGGGAGGTAGGGCTGTGGGAGGATCAAGTTGAGCATGCTACCTGTCTGTAAATGCCCTGGCGGGCAGGCTTGGGTGCAAGCAGGTGTGTGTGTAGGGCTCTGTCCCCAGGTGCCCAAGGTTGTGTACACAGGAATTATGTAAGTGGACTAGGCTGGGGGGGGGGGTCAAGGACTTTCTGTGTGGTGCTCTGGAGTGGTGAGTGTGTGGGATGCGGGCTAGCTTGTGGGAAGCTGTGGGCACATGGGGTATGTGGGACACAGGGGCTCTGTGGATACTGGGGAGGAGACCTGAGCCCTCTACAGTGGCAGGGTGTGTGCCCAAGGTTCTGGGTGCACGGTGGGGTGGCGTGTGCACATGGCTCCATTTGTGCTTTGGAGGTGGGCCGGGCAAGCCTGGAGCAGAACTGGGCTCAGCAGTGCCCAGCCTGGTGGCCAAATCGCTGAAGTCACTTCCTTTCCAGCAGTGACTTTCCAGGGGGAGGAGTTCTTCAGACCTGGGCGGGAGGCAGGGGCGGGGCAGGAGCCCAGCTCACTCTCTGGGGAGAGTGGGGGGAGGTGAGAGGTGGGAGGATGGCCTGGTGGGGCTGGAGGAGAGAGTCCTTAGGGAGACGGAAGGAAAGACAAGGACAGGAGCCTGGAAGGGCCAAGGGCAGGAGGGGATGGGGGTGGAGCAGAGCGGGAAGCTCAGTCCCTGGGTGACCTCAGAGGGAGGAAGGGAGGGCCACCAACAGGGTGACCCTCGAGTCCAGCGAGGGCTGGCAGTGCCGCCCACACACCTGGCACCCAGGGCAGGGGGCTGGCAGGGGGCGGTTCAGGGACAGACCTGCTTGCCAGGTGCCCTGCTCTGGACAGGAAGAGGGTGGGCGAGGGCTGCACAAAGGAGCTCTGTGTGGTTGGGGGTAGGGTGGGGTGTGCTGTGCTGTGTGGTGCTGTGCTGGGGGTGGGGGGTGATGGCCTTGGAGGCGGGGCAGGACCAGCTCCCCTTGGGGGCATCAGTGGCTCCAAGGGGACACCTAGTGGCAAGGGAAGGTAGTACATCTGGATGATTGGTGGGAGGTGGTGACTAGCAGCTAGGAGGAAGACAGAAGTCAAAAATGATAGAAATGATCATTGGGACTAGGACAGTTGGAGGAGGCAGGCTGAGAGGAGGCTGAATCTCTGGAGAACCAAACTTGGTTTTAGAGGAGCCCAACCAAACTAAACTCAGACTCCAGCAGAGACTGAATGGCTACCTTTAAATGCCAATAAGTGACCGATATCATCATTATTTCCATCAGTACTACTTTTGTTGTTATTTGGAGCTCAGATCAGGGAAGATCTGCAGATGGGGTGAGCAGGTAGGGGGCTGAAGGGAAGAAAACTGAGAGTTCCTGGAAAGAGGGAAAGAGCTGAGCCTGTTTGGTGAGGCCCTAAAGGGGAAGGGAAGTATGAGGAAAGTGTCAGGGTGGCCTTGTTTTCTACTGCCCAGAGGAAGGGGACATCCCTGGGCCTTCAGACCAGACTGGGAGGGGAAGGGGAGAAGGGAGTACATGCAGGCTGGGGAGAGAGGGTCATGAGGCCGGAAGTGAGAGCTGGGGTTGGCAGCCTGGCTCCCCTGGGGAGACTGTGGGTGGGGGAGGGGGGCTGGGGAAGGGGTGGGGTGGTCACAGCCACAGTGGGGAGGGTGGGGCTGGGGACTCAAGGATGTGGGCTGGAGCTTCCCGGCACTGAGCCGTGCAGGTTGGGGCCCCTCCCAGCTCGCTGGTGTCCCCGTGGGCAAGCTCAGACACACTGACCCAGAAGCAGCCAGCAGACAGAAGGACTCTTTCCACTTTGTTCTCAGAGCAGGGCTAGGTGGTATCCTTGGGAGGGGCCAAGAGAATGGCTGCCTGCTGGGGCGGGGGCGGGGATCCAGCTCCTTCCCTCAGATCCTGGAGGCTGCAAAAGAGAAGCAGTGGACAGAGTCAGGAGGACGTTGCCAAAGGTCTTCACGGGTGGGTGGAACAGAAGCCACCACTGGGGAGGAGGTTTATCTCCTCTGCCAAGATCACACCCTTAGGCCCCAAGTGGGAAGTCTCCATTGCCTGTAGGGTTGGTGAGCCTTACCTGTGCAAAGTAGGGGCTGGTGGTTTCTGGTGGGTGTCTCCAAAGAGGGCAGCAGCAGCCGGAGGGCCACGATGCTATCGGAGATTGCAGAATCTCTCCAAGGCTCTCCCTGTAAAGCAGTAGCCCTAACCAGCCAGACCGACACAGGAGAGAGCCAAGCCTTGAGTGAGCCAATAGGTGGGATGATGCGGAGCCGCCGCTGAGGCCTGGGCCCTGCTGAGAGGGAAGGAACTACAGTCAGAGCAGCGGTCCACCTAGAGAAAAGCAACAAAAGGGCCCTTCATGTGCTCTATGTGGCCTCAGGCAAAGTCTGACTCTTCCCTCTTCCCATCTCAGTCTCCTCATCTGAAATGGAAAGGCATGAGATGGCACCAGAACAGTGTACCCACTGGGGTAACGGATTAAAAATACAGATCCCCAGATGTCCCTCAGATGTGTGAGTCAGACTCCCCTGGACTAGGGCCTGGGTATCTGGAATGTTACACAGCTCCCCCAGGCCCAGGGTTTGGAAGCCAATGGCTTAGATAATTTTAAGGTCCCTCCCAGCCTTAAATTAGACCACAGCTTGGAAGGAGCATTTCCAGAAGTGGCTAAAAGAGAGTTGTGAGGGGCTGGGAGTAGAAAGAGGCTTTGGCCTTAGGGCAGAATTAGGAAGCAGCCTCTGAGCAGCTGTGTGACTTCAGGCAAGTTTCACAAGGGCTCTAGACCTGTTTTCCTTGTACCTAGGGGATAATAAACCATCCGTGCCTCCTGGGCTGCTGTGAGACTCAGTGGATCATATGGGGCACAAAGGAAGATCCTTTGTCACACCAGCCTGGCCTGAGCCAGCTTTGAAGTCTTCCTATGGAATGACAACTCTGGGCAGTACGGCAGCCAGTTATGAGTCTATACCTGTCTGTAGTGGGAGGTGGGCCCTGGGGACCCACTGCTAAGTCAGGATCAAACACTGGGCACTGGCCATTGTGGGGGGGGGGTGTTGGTTTTTTGTTGATTTTGTTGGTTGTGGGGCTTGAATTCTGAGCTTGGGCACTGTCCCTGAGCTCTTCAACACAAGGCCAGCACTCTACCACTTGAGTCACAGAGCCACTTCTGGTCTTCCGGTGGTTTAGTGGAGATAAGAGTCTCATGGACTTTCCTGCCCAGGCTGGCTTTGAACTGTGATCCTCAGATCTTAGCCTCCTAAGTAGCTAGGGCATCAGGTGTGAGCCACCAGCACCCCAGCCATTGTGTCTCTTAAGACCTTCACAGTGATCAGCTCCCATCCAGTCCCCCAACCTCCAAGATCCTAGCTCCTGGGTATCAGCCCAACTCTTGAGAGTTTTCAGACTCTCTTGGGAGTCAAACATGCCTGGATCTAAATCCCAGCTCTGCCCTGACCAGCCCAGGGAGTCACTCAGTAAATATTTATGTAGCATCCATAGCCCAGGCTTTGGGGTCAGAGGAGACAGCAGTAAACAAGACAGATGTGATCCCTGCCCCTGAGGAGCCAACATTCTCAGGGCAGACACACGAAACAGCTAGTCACACCAGTAATTGATTACAGTTGTGATAAATACTGTAAAGGTGAAATAGATAGGGCCCTGAGAGTAAGTAGCAAAGGCCTTGACCCAAGCCAGAGGTAGGATGGGGCTTCGGAGAGAGTTCAAAGATTCGCCCTTTCCATGTCCTTGTCTGGCTCTCTCTCAGAGTCTTCCTTGGCTCTTTTGGAGCTAGAGAAGAATAAGAAGGAACTTCATGAGAGCCAGGTATGGATGGTGGTGTATGTCTGTGAACCCAGCACTATGGAAGCAAAGTAAGGGGATTGTGAGTTCCAGCCAGCTGGGCTATGTGTTAAGACCCTGTCTTTAAAAAGAGAAATAAACTGGGTGCCAGTGGCTCATGCCTAAAAGCCTAGCTACTCCGGAGGCTGATATCCGAGGAGCATGGTTCAAAACCAGCCTGGGCAGGAAAGTCCATGAGACTCATCACCAATTAATGACCCAAAAACTGGAAGTGGCGCTGTGGCTCAAGTGGTAGCGCACTTGCCTTGAGTTGAAGAATGCAGGGACAATACCCAGGCTCAGAGTTTAAGCCCCATGACCAACAAATAAAAAAAGAGAGAGAAATAGGCAGGCATTGGTGGTTTATGCCTGTAATCCTACCTACTCAGGAGGCTGAGGTCTGAGGATTGAGGTTCAAAGCCAGCCCAGGCAGGAAATTCTGGAGACTCTTATCACCAATTAACCACCAGAAACCCGGAAGTGGTGCTGTGGCTCAAAAATGGTAGAGTGCTCACCTTGAGCTAAAGAGATCAGGGGTAGTACCCAGGCCCAGAGAGAAATAGCTTCATGAGAAAAGGCAAGGTTGATAGCTCCATATGCCATATTCATTTATTCAACCAATGTGTGTGTGCGTGTGTGTGTGCATACGCACACACGCATGCGCTTGCATGCCAGTACTAGGGCTTACACCCAGGGCCTGTGCTTTGTCTCTTAGCTTTTTTGCTCAAGGCTAGCACTTTATCACTTCAGCCACTGCTCTACTTCTGGCTTTTTGGTTTTTAATTAGAAAGAGTCTCACAGACTTTCCTGCCAAGACTGGCTTAGAACAGTGATCCTCAGATCTCAACCTCCTGAATAGCATTACAAGGAGGAGCCACCAGAGCCCAGCCAACCCATGTCTTGTTGAATACTTCTGTGAGCCACATGCTGTTCTGGTATTCAGGGCCTTTATGAGTGTTGGAGGTACTGGGTCTTGAACTCAACTTGGAGGCGGGCCCCCTACTCTTCGTTTGTTTTTGCCAGTTGTGGGGCCTGAACTCTGAGCCTGGGCGCTGTGTCTCAGCACTTCAGTTCAAGGCTAGCACTCTACCACTTGAGCTACAGCGCCACTTCTGGCTTTTTCTGCTTATGTGGTGCTGAGGAATTGAACCCAGGGCCTCATGCATGCAAGGCAAGCGCTCTACCACTAAGCCACCTTCCCAGCCCCGGGCCCCTAATTCTTGAGCTATGCCTGCAGCCCCCCACATGCTGTTGTGGGTGATGGGAGATAGATTCTGTGAAAATGACAGACACCCTTGCCCCCATGGTACTTAGGGCCTTCAATAGCTGATTTCTGTAAAAATGGGTGAGGATAATTGTATTGATCTCAGATTGGAAGGGGGATTAAGTGAGATAATCTATATTAAGTGCTTGGCCCACTGTTGGCAGTAGAGAAAGTATCCCCAAAATACGGGCTTTTATTGTTGACTCTGGTCATTGCTAGACCTCTGACCTCAGGCACTCTTTAACTTTTTCTTTGCAGTTCTTATCCCACTAATAATTAAATCATTTATGATTATCTGACCAGTGTCTGCTTATCCAGTCCTTGTACAGAGTAGGTACCCCATAAATGAGTATGTAAATGAATGGTGTTACTTCATCTCTGAGCCTCCATTTCTTCATCTGCAAAATGGGGTTATTAATAGCCCCTACCTCACAGGATTGGTATGAAGAAATAAATGAAGCGATGCCTGGACAGCTTCCCACCCAGTGCCTGGCGCGCAGTAGGTGCTCACTAAACCTGAGCTGCGATGGTCCTTTCCAGGCGCTGTCCACACTCCAAGGCCTGGGCTCAGGCCGAAGTTGCTCTGCAACATCCCCAGCTGACAGCCAGCGACTGGCAGAGCCCCCAGGCACGGGGGCCCTTTCTCTCCCAGGTCAGCTGGGTGGGCACACCGGAGGGAGCTGGGGGTGGCACTTGGAGGAGGCTGGGCCAGCGGGCAGGTGGGCAGGGATTGAGTGTGGCCATGAAATCATCATGTGGAGAATTCAGATCTGTTGCCTGTCTTGTTGTCCGCAGAGATTTCCAGTGTGACAGCCCAGGCGGCAGAGCCGAGGGTGAGTGGCTGGTATTCTGTTGCAATCTCCTCCGGGATGGGAGCAGAAAGGAGAGAGTCTTTGCCCACAACGGGACCTTCTGGCCCTCCCCTTAAGCTTGATCTGAAGTGGTCACCTCATCGAGCTAATGGGCCTCTCTGATGCAGGATGTAGCAGGGGGGTCGGTTGTCTATGGGAGCCACAGGCGGCTCGGGGCAGGGCTGGAGCAGGAGGATGAGATGGTGGGGGGAGGATCGGGGGCTGCTCCTGTATGGGAGCTGCTGAGAGGCGCAGTGTGGGACCTCCTGCTGTCCTTCTCCTGCAGGTCCTGGTCCCGGCTTCTCGCACCCTCATGTCAGCCCCGGCCCCGCCCGGCGGCCCTCGGAGGACAAGGTCAGGATGCGTGTGAAGCCCCAGGGCCTGGTGGTGACTTCCAGTGCCGTGTGCAGCTCTCCTGACTACCTCCGGGAGCCCAAGTACTACCCCAGCGGTCCCCCCACCCCCCGGCCCTTACTTCCTACCAGGCCTCCCGCCAGCCCACCCGACAAGGCCTTCTCCACCCACACTTTCTCTGAGAATCCACGCCCACCCCCACGCCGGGACCCCAGCACCCGGCGCCCACCAGTCCTTGCCAAGGGAGACGACCCACTTCCCCCTCGGGCAGCCCGGCCCATCTCCCAAGCCCGCTGCCCCATACCAGCCGGAGACGGTAACAGCTCCCGCTGCCCCTGGGACAACGGCCGTGTGACCCTGCGTCCCGTGGTGCAGCTGATCGACATCATGAAGGACCTGACCCGGCTCTCGCAGGACCTGCAGCACAGCGGCGTGCATCTGGACTGTGGTGGGCTGCGGCTGAGCCGGCCCCCGGCCCCTCCCCCCGGGGACCTGCAGTACAGCTTCTTCTCCTCACCCAGTCTGGCCAACAGCATCCGCAGCCCTGAGGAGCGCACCACCCCTCATGCCAAGTCAGAGCGGCCTGGCCACCCCCTCTACGAGCCCGAGCCCGAACCTAGAGACAGTCCTCAGCCTGGTCAAGGCCATAGTCCTGGAGCCGCAGCTGCAGCCACAGGTCTGCCCCCCGAGCCCGAGCCAGATGGCCCTGATTACTCGGAACTCGCTGACGCTGACATCCTCAGTGAGCTGGCCTCCCTTACTTGCCCCGAGGCCCAACTGCTAGAGGCCCAGGCCCTTGAGCCGCCATCGCCAGAGCCAGAGCCTCAGCTTCTGGACCCCCAGCCCCGCTTCCTGGACCCGCAGGCGCTAGAGCCACTTGGGGAAGCTTTGGAGCTGCCACCCCTGCAGCCTCTTGCAGATCCTCTGGGACTGCCGAGCCTGGCCCTGCAGGCCCTGGATACGCTTCCTGACTCGCTAGAATCCCAGCTACTCGATCCCCAGGCACTTGACCCCTTGCCTAAGTTGCTGGATGTCCCTGGGCGCCGTCTGGAGCCCCAGCAGCCACTGGGACATTGTCCATTGGCTGAGCCCTTGCGCCTGGACTTGTGCTCACCCCATGGCCCTCCTGGGCCTGAGGGCCACCCCAAGTACGCCTTGCGGCGCACTGATAGGCCAAAGATTCTGTGTCGCCGGCGAAAAGCCGGCAGGGGTCGGAAGGCAGACGCTGGACCTGAGGGCCGCCTGCTGCCCCTGCCTATGCCTACGGGGCTGGCAGCTGCCCTCACTGAGCCCCCACCGCCACCGCCTCCCCCGCCCCCCGCCCTGCCAGGCCCAGTCCCAGAGCTGGAGCCAGAGTCCTCCCAGACCCCAGGCGTCCCCACCCGCAAAAGCAAATGCCGGGGCGTACGGCGCATGGTGGTGAAAATGGCGAAAATCCCTGTATCGCTGGGGCGGCGGAACAAGACCACCTACAAGGTGTCGTCCTTGAGCAGCAGCCTGAGCGTGGAGGGCAAGGAGCTGGGCCTGCGCGTGTCCGCAGAGCCCACGCCCCTGCTGAAGATGAAGAACAACGGGCGCAACGTGGTCGTGGTCTTCCCCCCGGGCGAGATGCCCATCATTCTCAAGCGGAAGCGCGGTCGCCCTCCCAAGAACCTGCTGCTGGGTCCCGGCAAGCCCAAGGAGCCAACCGTGGTGGCGGCCGAGGCGGCCACCGTGGCGGCGGCCACGCTGGCCATACCGGAAGTGAAGAAACGGCGGCGGCGGAAGCAAAAGCTGGCCTCGCCGCAGCCGTCCTACGCAGCTGATGCCAATGACAGTAAGGCCGAGTACTCGGACGTGCTCGCCAAGCTGGCCTTCCTGAACCGCCAGAGCCAGTGCGCCGGGCGGTGCTCCCCGCCCCGCTGCTGGACGCCCAGCGAGCCCGAGTCCGTGCACCAGGCCCCGGACACGCAGAGCATCTCGCACTTCCTGCATCGCGTTCAGGGTTTCCGACGGCGAGGGGGCAAAACTGGTGGTTTTGGGGGCCGGGGCGGGGGTCATGCAGCCAAGGCCGCCCGGTGCTCCTTCAGTGACTTCTTTGAGGGCATCGGCAAGAAAAAGAAGGTGGTGGCCGTGGCGGCGCCTGGGGTTGGGGGTCCCGGCCTCACTGAGTTGGGGCACCCCCGGAAACGGGGCCGAGGGGAGGTGGATGCCATGACTGGCAAGCCCAAGCGCAAGAGGAGGTCTCGGAAGAACGGGACTCTGTTTCCAGACCAGGTGCCCAGCGGCCCGGGCTTCGGAGAGGCCGGCGCTGAGTGGGGGGGCGACAAGGGTGGTGGCTGGGCCCCTCACCACGGGCACCCAGGCGGGCAGGCTGGCCGAAACTGTGGGTTCCAGGGGGCCGAGGCCCGGGCCTTTGCCTCCACGGCGCTGGAGAGCGGGGCCTCAGGCCGCGGCAGCTACTACGGCACGGGCGCACCCTCGGGCCAGACAGAGCTCAGCCAGGAACGCCAGAATCTCTTCACTGGCTATTTCCGCTCGCTGCTCGATTCCGATGACTCCTCCGACCTCTTGGACTTTGCCCTCTCAGCCTCCCGCCCAGAGTCCCGGAAGGCATCAGGCACCTATGCAGGGCCTCCCTCCAGTGCCCTGCCTGCCCAGCGGGGCCTGGCCACCTTCCCCAGCCGGGGAGCCAAGGCCAGCCCAGTGGCGGTGGGCAGCAGTGGGGGCGGGGCAGACCCCTCCTTCCAGCCTGTTCTTTCCAGTCGCCAGACCTTCCCACCAGGACGGGCAACGAGCTATGGGATCACCCCAGCCACTTCAGACTGTCGGGCGGCTGAGGCCTTCCCAAAGCTGGCACCCCCGCCCTCAGCTGTGGCGCGCTCTCCCACCACCCACCCCCCTGCCAACACCTACCCTCCCCAGTACGGTGGCTATGGGGCTGGACAAAGTGTGTTCGCCCCGGCCAAGCCCTTCTCGGGTCAGGACTGTGCTAACAGCAAGGACTGCAGCTTTGCCTACGGCAGCGGCAACAGCCTGCCTGCCTCTCCCAGCAGTGCCCACAGCGCTGGCTACGCGCCCCCTCCCGCCGGGGGCCCCTGCCTGCCCCCCGGCAAGGCCTCTTTCTTCAACAGCTCTGAAGGTACCCCCTTCTCCGGCTCAGCCCCCACTCCCCTGCGCTGTGATAGTCGTGCTAGCACCGTCTCCCCCGGTGGCTACATGGTGCCCAAGGGCACCACAGCTTCTGCCACCTCCGCAGCCTCTGCCGCCTCCTCCTCCTCCTCCTCCTTTCAGCCCTCGCCTGAGAACTGTCGGCAGTTTTCGGGGGCTTCTCAGTGGCCTTTCCGGCAGGGCTACGGAGGCCTGGACTGGGCCTCTGAGGCCTTCAGTCAGCTCTACAATCCCAGTTTCGACTGCCACGTCAGCGAGCCCAACGTGATCCTGGACATCTCCAACTACACGCCGCAGAAGGTGAAGCAGCAGACCACCGTGTCGGAGACCTTCTCCGAGTCCTCCTCCGACAGCACCCAGTTCAATCAGCCCGTCGGAGGGGGCGGTTTTCGGCGTGCCAACAGTGAGGCCTCCAGCAGCGAGGGCCAGTCGAGCCTGTCCAGCCTGGAGAAACTGATGATGGACTGGAACGAGGCATCCTCCGCCCCCGGCTACAACTGGAACCAGAGCGTCCTCTTCCAGAGCAGCTCCAAGCCCGGCCGTGGACGGCGGAAGAAGGTGGACCTGTTCGAAGCCTCGCATCTGGGCTTCTCCACATCTGCCTCGGCCACTGCCTCTGGCTACCCATCCAAACGAAGCACTGGGCCCCGGCAACCACGGGGTGGTCGGGGGGGTGGGGCTTGCTCAGCCAAGAAGGAGAGAGGTGGTGCAGCAGCCAAAGCCAAGTTCATCCCCAAGCCACAGCCGGTCAATCCGCTGTTTCAGGACAGCCCAGACCTTGGCCTCGATTACTACAGTGGGGACAGCAGCATGTCTCCACTGCCCTCACAGTCCAGGGCCTTCAGTGTGGGAGAACGGGATCCCTGTGACTTCATGGGACCCTACTCCATGAACCCATCCACACCTTCCGACGGCACTTTCGGCCAAGGCTTCCACTGCGACTCACCCAGCCTGGGTGCTCCTGAGCTGGATGGCAAGCATTTCCCACCACTGGCCCACCCGCCCACGGTGTTTGATGCTGGCCTGCAGAAGGCTTACTCGCCCACCTGCTCGCCCACACTAGGCTTCAAGGAAGAGCTCCGGCCACCACCCACAAAGCTGACTGCCTGCGAGCCCCTCAAGCATGGGCTCCAGGGGGCCAGCCTGGGCCACACAGCTGCAGCCCAGGCCCACCTGAGCTGCCGGGACCTGCCGCTGGGCCAGCCGCACTATGATTCCCCCAGCTGCAAGGGCACAGCCTATTGGTACCCACCGGGCTCCGCCGCCCGTAGCCCACCCTATGAAGGCAAGGTGGGATCGGGGCTGCTAGCTGACTTCCTGGGCAGGACGGAGGCCGCGTGCCTCAGTGCCCCTCACCTGGCTAGCCCACCAGCCACGCCCAAGGCCGACAAGGAGCCACTGGAGATGGCCCGGCCACCCGGTCCACCTCGTGGCCCTGCTGCAGCCGCTGCTGGCTATGGCTGCCCACTCCTTAGTGACTTGACCCTGTCCCCTGTGCCAAGGGACTCGCTGCTGCCCCTGCAGGACACTGCCTACAGGTATCCAGGCTTTATGCCACAGGCACATCCTGGCCTGGGTGGGGGCCCCAAGAGCAGCTTCCTGGGGCCCATGGCGGAACCTCACCCTGAGGACACATTCACCGTCACCTCCCTGTAGTGCCAACTGAAGTGCCAACTGGACCGTGAGGTTTTGTTCCTGGGTGAGTCTGGGGTTTGGGGTGGAGTGGGCAGAGGTCTGGGCAGTGGGCTAAAAATTGAGGATGTTAATGGTTAGACGGGAAGAAGAGGTACAGAGAGATGAGCAGGACTCATCTGCAGGATTCAAGGACAAACTGGGAGACCTGGCAGCAGGGAAGAGAGGCTCAGGATTAGGGGTTGTAGGGCTGGGAAGGTGGCTCAGTGGTAGAGCGCTTGCCTTGCATGTATGAGGCCCTGGGTTCCATTCCTCAGCACCACATAAGAAAAAAGAAAAAAGCCGGAAGTGGCACTGTGTCTCAAGTGGTAGAGCGCTAGCCTTGAGCTGAAGAGTTGAGGGACAGCGCCCAGGCCCAGAGTTCAGGCCCCACGACCGGACCCAAAAAGAATAAAAAAAGGATTAGGGGTTGTACAGTCTTGGGGCTGAAATGGAGCTTGGGTAGAAACCCAGCAGGACATTGGGAGATACCGATCATTGGCATGGTAGGGAAAACACGGACTAGATAGGACCTTCTAGCTTGGTTTATCAAACAGATGTTTCCCTAGTGCATGCTTAGGCCTTGGGCAAGAAATTCTCACCACTTGACCTTTTACAAGGGAAAGTATTTACATCGTCCTGTGAGTCCAGGAAGGGAGAAGCAGGTTGGTCATCCACTCAGGGCTAATCCAGAGTTGTAGGTCCATCGGACACTCGTGGCGCACCCCAGATGTTCTCATCACACACTCTGCAAGTGCTTGTGTAGAATGACCCAGAGGCTCCCCATTTGTCTTCCCCGGTATCTTTGATGGCTAATATTCAACATCTTTGGCCTGAGGTAGGCTCTGTGATCAGGGATTCACATGGGGACCGACTGTCCCTGGAAACCTGCCACCAATAACTGTCCCAGAGAGGATATTTTGACCCTAAAGTCAGATCTTTTCCTCATAGCAAACGCATCTCTAAGCGACCAGTTAAATATTGTAAGGTAGTTTCAGGTGCTAGTGGCTCACTCCTATGATCCCAGCTACTCAGGAGGCTAAGACCTGAAAGATCACAGTTTGAAGCCAACCCAGACTGAAAACTCTTCAGACTCTTGTCTCCAATTAACCAACCAAAATCTGACAGTGGAAGTGTGGCTTAAGCACCACCCTTGAGCAAAAAAGCTAAGGCAGGGTACAAAAGTTCTGAGTTCAAATGTGTGTGTGCGCGCACACATACACACACACACACACACACAAAGAAAAAATTGTGCATTTTAGAAAAGGAATATCAGAGAAAATATTCCCAAATGACCAAAAGGAATAGGTTGAAGAAATGGTATTCTATAAGCACAACCTATTTCAGAATACAGCCACAACTGGTTCCATTTTTAGACAACAGATAACCTGTCACAAAACCGGCCCAGAAGCCAGGCGCTAGTGGCTCATGCCTGTAATCCTAGCTACTCTGGAGGCTGAGATCTGAGGATCATGGATCAAAAGCCAGCCTGGGCAAGAAAGTCCATGAGACTCTTATCTCCAGTTAACCACCAGAAAACCGGAAGTGGCACTGTGGCTCAAGTGGTAGAGTGCTCACCTTGAGCTGAAGAGCTGAAGGACAATGCCCAGGCCCTAAGTTCAGACCCCATGACCAATAAAAAAAAAAAAAAAAAGGCCCAGATGTAGTAACTGACAGTGAGGTGAGTTGAGGACAGGTCTGAGACCCTCACTTTTTGTCTTTGTTACTCCAAAGCCTCCAGAGAGTTTCCTTTCCTGGGGATGGATGGGCTGGCCTCCCGGAAAGCCCCATTTCTGCTCTGAGGAGGCCATTCAAGGCCAGAGTGACTCAGGGTCCTGAAGTTAAGTCCATGGGAACTTATTACCCACTCTCTGCTAGACTCCAGCTGCCCTGGTGCCTGAGTGACACAGAACAGTACTGGGGCGCGAGAGATCTGGGGGAGGACCAGGCTCCAATGGGCCACCAGCTTGCTACGTGCTCTTTATCAAGCTCTTGCTCCTCTCTTGCCTCTGTTTCCCCATCTGCTCAAGGAAATTGACCTCAATCGTCTCTTAGGCTTTTACCACTCTGCATGGCAGAAACAATGGATCTTTTTTTTCTTCTTCCTTTTTTTCCCCTCTTTTGGCAGCAGATTTTCCTTCCTAATGCAGCCAGGCCAAGATTAAAATGGCCTTCCATTCCCCATGCCTCTCACTGCAAGCAGCAGAGCCGCAGATCTGAAGCAGGTCTGGGAGAAGCTGCTTAGGGTTTAAAATGTCAAACTCTTGATCCTTCTCACTGGAGGGAAGATGTCTCATGGATAATCCAGAAATGTGAATAATCCAAAAACTGTTCCTCCCAGGCTCTGGGTGGGAAAAATGAACGGGTGTGGGGGCTGGGTGTTTGGGCAGGTCACAGCTCAGTGCAGTGCATAATGGAACCACCCAGTGAGGCCTGAACGCAGGAGGAACTGGGATGCCATCCAGCCCCACATTCTGGCCCTGCTCCCCACCCAGGGCTGCGAGTTAACAGCACTGTCCTCAAGCCAATGCATGCAGTTGTTCCAAAGACATCTGCGCAGCACCCCCTTCCTGCCAGCCATTGGGGCACCAGAGTGAACACCACAGGTGAGGCACTTGGTCCTCAGGCGGCTTTGGGTTAGAGGAAAACACTAAGCAGGATGACACGGAACATTTGGTAGTTACAGCCGTGGGAAGGGCAGTATGAGAAAAAGGAAGCCAGGGGATTATGAGAACCTGCAGCCGACTGCCCAGACCTTGCAGCTACTGCCCGAAGGACGAGGGGACGAAGCTGCTACCCAAGTTGTGGACAGAGGGAACAGCAGTGGGTGCAGCCTTGAGGCAGGCAGGCAGAGGCTCAGCTCTGAAGAAATGAGAGGAGGACACTAAAGCTAAATGAAAGCAAGGCAGACAGGGCGTTGCAAGGAGTTTGAATTATTCAAATCAAGGCACGCAGGGAACCACTGAAGAGAAGGTTCTCGGCTGGAGTGTGGGGCACAGTGGAGTTGGGCAGATGTTGAAATAGGGAGGCCGATTGCAGTAGTTCAGACAGGCAGAGAGCGTACCTGGACCAGCATGGTAGACTCCCTGCTTCGGCTAAGATGGCTCCCAAACTCCCCTGTCCATTGCGAGGGGTGGCAGTGAGAAAGGGTGGGGAGATGGGGAGGGGAGTAGTGAGGAAGAATTAATAGAGGGAGTCACATCACCAACAGAAGGCGTAAGCGGAGAAGACAATGCCACGCTCCCTCGCCAACAGTGAGCAGCTTTGACACTGGGCACTAGGGAAGCAATAATTCAGCTTACCCATGAATCTTGAGCCTCACCCAGCTTATTCAATGCCAGGTGCTGGGGAAACAAAGCAGATACGGTCTCTGGCCTCCAATTCTGTGTCTACCCAAGGAAGCTTAAAACAAGTACACAAAGAACCTGGAAGCAAAAAGCCATGCCAAGCCAGGTGCCGGTGGCTCACGCCTGAAATCTTAGCTACTCAGGAGGCTGAGATCTGAGGATCGTGGTTGAAAGCCAACCCAGGCAGAAAAGTCCCTGTGAGACTCTAACCTCCAATTAACCACTCAAAAACTGGAAGTGGCACTGTGGCTCAAGTAGTAGAGCACTAGCTTTGAGCAAAAGAGCTCAGGGACAGTGCCCAAGCCCCATGACTGACACACACATGCGCATGTGTGCACACACACACACACACACACAAAAGCCCTATCAGGTCCCAGTGGCTCACACCTGTAAGCCTAGCTACTCAGGAGCCTGAGATCTGAGTATTTCAGTTCAAAGCCAGCCTGGGCAGGAAAGTCCATGAGACTCATCTCCAGTTAGCCACCAAAAAGGCAGAAGTGGAGCTGTGGCTCAGAGCACTAGTGTTGAGCACAGGCTCTGAGTTCATGCTCTAGTAACTAGAAACACCTGGAAGGAAGTGTTTGCTGGGCGGGTCAAGGACTGCAGCAGGCAGTGAGTGCTCAGGAGTCATCCCTCTGCCTACTTAGTGAAAAAAGGGACGTAGATTTGTCCTGGGCCCTTTGCCCCGGCGTGTGCCACTGCCCACAGCAACCCCTCAGAGAGGTTAGGAAAGGAGGAGACAGAACCCTCCCTGAGGGATCTGTACTTAGTAAATGGAATGAACGAACACACTCCTGTCTCTGGGCCTGCCACATGGCTGCTCCTTTCCTCTCTGTTCCACTTCCCGGTTCCCTGTCTTCAAACTGACAGGTTGCATTTTGTGAGTCTGTGGAAGAAACTTCACTTGAACTTGACCTTGAAGAACAGGCGAGCTTTGGCGACAGGGAAGAGCACTTCAGGCAGGTCACCTGGCAATGCCAGTGTAGGAAGAAAGGTCAGGAGACTAGGGAATGTTGGGAATGGCTGGGCTTGAGAACTGTGGCTGACAGGAAAGAGACAGGAGACTCATCATCGGAGACAAGCCTTGGGCCCACACAGAAATTGTTAAAGCAAAGCAAGGCCAGGCGCTGGTGGCTCATGTCTGTAATCCTAGATACTCAGGAGGCTGAGATCTGAGGATCGAAGTTCAAAGCCAGCCTGGGCAGGAACGTCCGTGAGACTCTTATCTCCAGTTAACTACCAGAAAACCGGAAGTGGTGCTGTGGCTCAAGCAGTAGAGCACTCGCCTTGAGCTAAAGAGCACAAGGACAGCGCCCAAGCCCAGAGTTCAAACCCCACAACTGACAAAAGAAAAGTAAGGCAGACTGACTATACTGGGACCCTATAGGCTAAAGACCAGCCAGCTGTAACAGATCCTCGGGGCAGGGGTGAGGGGTAGGAAGGACCTGTTAGGTGTTTGAGAATCTCTGGTGCCTCTCTCCCCTCCCTGCTCCCTCTCAGGCCTGGAACTGAGGCCAAGAGAAATGTCACAGGTCCTCCAAGGTTACACCAGCTGGGCCCTAACCAGAGCAGGAGACGGTTTCCAAGGCCAACATCCAGCCGGGGTCAGCAGGCATGCTCAACCGTGGGCCAGGCCTGGCTGCTCAGAGTCCTGTCTCTCTGTCTCGAATCCTTGAGAGGT